GGACTTGGAACCTTATGAAAAATGTAAGGCATATTTTTGTTTTGGGCCCTATTAACAACAACAACAGAAAACTAAAAAAGGACAAGTTCTTATAGGTAAAAGCTGGAGAATAGTACCCACTGTCTCCTGTCTTCTCAGTGGAGAATATCAGCCCTTAAAAGACGTAGATTCTCAATCTCTTTAGGGAGATGAGAAGCATAGCATTCAGACATGCACCTTTTTTTTTTTTTGAAAATAAGAAAAAATTTGATATTGTCTTCTAGCAAATTCAGTTCTTACTTTTCCTCCCATCCCTTAACCCTGTTGTTGGCACGATGTGTTACTGCACTTTTTGAAAAAACATGTGGATAATATACTGCCATTTCTGGAACTAAGCATGTGGCTATGTGCTGTTTCGAGAAACAAGGACACCATTTCCTCCAGGCAGGTAGAATGTGCGCTTCCCCTTGGACTTGTGATTGGCAGTGGATTCCAAGTGAGGAGGAAGCTGGCCACTGAATGCTCTCTACCGGGTCATCGTTATGGGGAAAGATTCCTGGCCCAACCATGCTTCTCAGTGGTGGGGGGCTGCAGCCTTTCTGCCCTCCGTTTCTGTGGAGGGATGTGGTGGTGGTCCGACCATCAGCCTTCAGTGACCTCCAGCCACTTGGCTGACGTGCGCATCAGAGGCCTGTGGCCACAGGTCCGATGCCTGTTCCTGGGTATCACCAGAAGGTACCGCTGCTGAGTCTTGGGAGCAGGCAGGCTGTGTGGAGGGTGAGGGGTGCAGCCCCTCTGCTCAGTTTTCCTTGTTGGGGGCCTGGAGTTTGCTGTTTGCTAACTGGGCACGCACGTGCATCATGGCCAGTTCACCACGATCGCCATCTGTCTCGCTGAAAAGGACAGGGAGGGTGTGGGTTTCAGAGGAGTTTCGGGAAGGGCCAATCAGAGTCAGCTCGAGGATTTCCAGATTTCCAATTAGACGAACTCACCCGGAGGCTGGGTTTTGTTTGAGTTGCTTATCTGTGCCATTAATGGGAGGTGGGACACCAAATCACTCACTTCCCTGATGACTAAAACACAGTTTATTGATTGGGAAAACAATATTATAACAAACATATCAGTATAATTTAAGACATTGCCCTGCAGCCCTCAGAGCCACCCACTTGATTTCATCTCGGTGGTTGTTTTCCCGTCCTCGTCCACATCAATTCCTATTCCAGGCTCTTGTGATTAAAGAAGCAGGTGTCACACACTGTCCTTATGGCCACAGTGGGGCAGGCAGTTCTGGTTTCAAATGGCATTTTAACATCCTCTTAGGCAAAGATCTGGGTGTGACTGAAACTCTCCCTCGGACGGACAGTCAGGCCATTGTTCACGTCCCTCCCCCACCCTGGAGGATGTGGTCCGAAGTGGTCAGCTCTGGACAGTGTCTGCCATGGAGAACTTGTGTTGCGTACACAGCACCTGGCAGCAAAACATTCAAGGGCTTGGGGAACTTCGAGAACTAGAGTCTTCCTTCCCTAGAGTCAAGTGTTTCCAGAATGTTCCCTGATGACAAATGTCTGTCAGTCGTAGGTCCCTAGAAGACACACACACAGATAGATAGATAGATAGATAGATAATTTATTTTAAAAAGCCTCTGTGCTAACAGTGAACTTTGGGAAGAGCTACGTGGTAGCTGCTCCTTGGGGAGCTTGTGTTAGGGAGAGGTCATGGTTTTTCTTAGCACGAAAATATATAAATTCTATTTTATTGAGTATAGTTCATAAAGTGTACAGAACATAGCATGCAGCTTAGTTATATTTCTGTTGGTGCTGATCTAGGCAATGGAAATAAGACAAGTAAGGGCAGAAAGTGCACCCAGTTGGTTAAATGGGCAGAAAGTGGTCCCAGTCAGTTGAATGCTAGCAAAGTGGCAGCAAACACTAACTGGGAGGGTTTTCATGGTCAAGTCCACGGCAAGTCAGAAGCTGTGCTCATGAGCACTGGAGAGCCTTTTGAAAGCAGCTGTTTTTAATTATTTCCATCCTGATATGATTATTTTTGTCAAATGGTACAAGTGGGTTGCCTGTTAAAAACCCAACTATCTACACCCTTGCCCTGGGGGTGGAGGGCCTGGATGGAATCAACAGTTAAGCACTTGGCTGCTGACCGGAAGGCTGGAGGGGGCCTGCACACACAGGCACCTGGGAGGACAGGCCTGGTGCTCTGCTCCTGAGCACCCAGCCACTGAGACCCCCGAGGGGCACAGTCCTGCTCTGACGCACGGAGGTGCCAGGAGGCAGATGGATCTGACGACACCTGCTTACTCTGGGGACTGGCTTTTCCTAATCTGTTTAAGTCCTTCAAGTGAAAAGTTGGGTGGCGCTTGAACCAATACGCTAAAAATATGAAAACACAGTACCTCTGGTCAGTTGCAGGAATAGTATTTATTTATCCGTTCGTTCGTTCAATCAATCATTTATTTACCTTCCCCTTCACCCCTCTACTGTGTGTTTCCCCCTAGTTGCTGGTTTACCCTCCCTCCCCATCCACCCCTTGAAACCATCGAGAATATGTCCTTTGTTTTCAAACCCTTTCCTTGACTTTTCACACTAGGTTCTCATATAGTATTTGTCCTTTTGTGACTAACTTCACTCAGCAACAGGCTCTGTGTTCGTCCACATTAGGAGATGTTGGGCAGATTCCTCATTTTTCTTTAACGTTGCACAGTGCTCCATTGTGTGCATGGACTGTGGTGTGTTGACCCTTCCTCTGTTGATGGGCATGTAGGCTGTCTCCTCTTTGGCTGTTGTGAACAGTGCTGTGATGGACATGGGTGTGTGCATTTCTGTTTGTGTCACAGCCTTTATTTCTCAAGGGTATCCACCTAGTAGTGGGATTACTGGATCGTATTTATATTTCCAGCTTTTTTAGGAAGCACCATACCATTTTCTATAGTGGTTGCACCATTTTACAGTCCCACCAGCAGTGCGTGCGGGTTCCAGTCTCTCCACAGCCTTGTCAGCATTTGCTGTTTTCTGTTGTTTTGAACTTTGTTGTTAGTGCTGGGGTGAGATGATAATGCATTGTTGTTTTGATTTGCATTCCTCTTTGGTAGCATAGTGCCTAAGGCACTTGACTGCTAACCAGAAGGCTGGCAGTTCAAACCCACCAGCCACTCCTCGGAAGGAAGGCTGGACAATCTACTTCCATAGTGATACTGCCTTGGAAACCCAAGGAGGGGTCGCTATGAGTTGGGTCCAAATCAACAGCACATAACAACAACAACAATGGCTAATGTTAGTTCTATTAGCAGTCCATGGTACTTTCAGCATTCCTCACCAACACCACAACTCAAAAGCATCTACTCTTCTCTTTGATTGTCCTTATTCATTGTCCAGCTCTCACATGCATATGAGGCAATTGAAAATACCATGGCTTTGTCTTTAAGGAGATATCTTTGCTGTTCAACACTTGAAAGAGGTCCTTTGCAGCAGATTTGCCCAATGCAATACGTCATCTGATGTCTTGACTGCTGCTTTCATCAGTATTGATCGTACAACCAAGTAATATGAAGTCGTTGACAACTTCGATCTTTTCTCCATTTATTGTAATGCTGCTTATTGGTCCAGTTGTGAGGATTTTTGTTTGCTTTCTGTTGAAGTTTAATCCATACTGCTGACTGTAGTCTTCAGTCTTCATCAGGTGGGTGCTGACCGAGGGCTGTCATTCCTCTGCTGGTGAGCTGGTAAGCCTGACAAAGTGTGTGCAAGGCCCCTGGCCACACAGCAGGGTGGGCCACGAGAATGGCTGTCTGAGTTGGACAAGCAGATGCTGCCTGGGTCCTGTGGGTGGAGATGACAGTCCCGGTCTTGGCTTTGCCTGACTCCCCTCCTTGACTGCCAGCTTCATATGTCCCTAAGCTGCCCATGGCCTTGTCCCAGTGGGGAGTGCCCATAGGTCAGAGATAGTCCAGCTATTCTGTGGGAGTCCTTGTCTGTGTGTCCTCCTGCACTGTTCTGGTGGCCGTGGGGGCAGGAGGTGCCATGTCTGGTGTGTGATCACCACATGGCCTGGTTGGCTGGCTCAGCCATGGTGGGGTGAGGGGAACACGTGTCCACAGTGCCTCCTGGGGCTGGGCTGGCTTCCCGACGCCACTCAGTGGGATTGTGTGTGAGCAGATCACCACGGTCAGTGCTCTGGGGCCAGAAGTTACACCAGGTAGTGGGGACACAGAAGCTGCAGACCCCACGTGCCACTCAGGTCAGAAAATTCACACCAGAGTCTGATCTTCTCTGAAGTTTAGACAGCTTACCTCCAAAAGACCACAGTGATAAAAAACAAAAAAGAACTTCCACACCCCGTAATGTGCGTACAGAATGGCACAACACCCACAGTGCTTTGCAGCAGTTTCAGGACAGACGCATGAAGGACAAGGACTGCCTTGAGTGCAGAGCCAGTGAGAGCCCCGTGGTCCATACCACCCTGTCCATTCCGTGGCTTGGGCTGCTGTGATGTTGTGCCCTGTCACTTACTGACCATGGTGTCCTGCTGCCACCACCTGTCATGCTCTGTAGCAACTCACCCATCGATCATCATGGTGGCGTGGTCGTAACATGGCTGATCCTAAAAAGAAACCACGTTGGAGGTTTGGGCTTGTAGACTGCACATGATCATTGGCTGTGTTAACTGAGCCACTCTGGAGCATTTCGTCCGTAAGGTGGACTTCCGGTTGTTGGGTGGCTGCAGTGAGCTGCTGTGGGTAAGGCCTCCAGAGCTATCCAAGGTGGCGTTCCTGGCTCATCTGCTTAACCTTGGCAGGGAGTTCAGTTACTCACAGTGGGACTGGCCAGAGAAGGAGGATGAATGTTGCTGCTGCTGCTGCCACTCACACTTCCAGAAAGTTCCATTGGGCCGCACTAGGGCCTGGTGGGCTGCGTTTGCCCATGGGCTCCAAACCTGATGACATCTTAGTTTCAAGGAAATTATTTTATGTTCTAACTATTTTTTGGCTCTCTTCTCTGTTTCTATTGCAGGGACTCAGCTATTTAATGGTCATAGTGACTTTAGAATCACTGCCTTGAAATTTCATCCAAAAGATCACAACCTTTTTGTCTGTGGAGGCTTCAGCTCTGAAATAAAAGCTTGGGACGTAAGGACTGGCAAGGTAAGTGTGTCTCCTCTGCTTGGCCTATCCACAAAGTGTCCCCTTGGACAATGTGACTAGTAGGGGCAGGCCTGCGTCTCCATGTAGGAGCCTTGGTGTGCTGTAGTGATCATATAATACTTCACCAGTGCTGTGTGTAATTTTCAGCTTTGTGTCTAATTTTCAGGGATGTTTGAAAGAACATCCCTGGCTTGTTAGACTCTGAAAACATAGGTTCAGGTTGGCAGCACATTGTTAAAATATTTAGTGACCCTACTGTGCGTAGCTGCCACTAGATTGTATCAGATGCATCAGCCTGGTGTCAGTCAAGGGAAATGAGAAGATATGAACAAGCCTGGTGCAGAGAAGTGCTCTGTGTGTGTGTGCATGTATGTGAACTTGTGTGTGAGTGTGTGTGGATTTGTGTGTAGATGTATGTTTGTAGTGTGTATGGGTTTGTGTGTGCATATGTGTGGTGTGTGTACATGAGCTTTTGGTGTGTATGAATGTTTATGTGTGCATGCATGAATCTGATGTGTGTGCATGTTTGTGGTGTGTGCACATGTATGAGTATATGTGCATGTGTATGAGTTTGTACTGTGTGTGCACGTATATGTGTGTGTGTGAGTCTGTAGTGTGTGCACGTATATGTGCGCGTGTGTGTGAGTCTGTAGTGTGTGTGCACGTATGAGTATATGTGCGTGTGAGTGGAGTCTGTGGTGTGTGTGGAGGTGAGCAGGTATCAGGAGGTGAGCGCTTCAGCTGGATGAGGGGAAATCTTTGTGGAGATGATGCCCTTTGAGGCTTAGCAGCTGGTCATGATCTTCTGTGTGGAGAAGTGATTTCCACCCCACCCTTTGCTTCACTTGCTGCTGCAGCCGCCTTCACCAACTTAAGAGCTGGCTGCCCCATCCCTCTAGCTGTTCAGGCCAAAAGTCAGAATCACCTGTCTCTGTGTTCCTGTCAGCGTCAGTGCCACCTCCCTTCAGCACGTATCGAGAACCCCTGCTCCTGGACTCCGATCTTGATCACCATCCTCTCTCACCATGACGAATGCAGCTGTCTCGTCTCACGCTCTCCCTTTCTGTTCTCAGCCCTGCAGCCAGAGCGATCTGTTCAATGTGGTGAAATGTGTTGCTGCTCTGGCCAGAGCCCTCCAGACCCTGATCTCAGGCACACTCGGAGCCTGAGTCCCTACGGTGGCCCACAGACCTGCTCAGGCTCTGGTCTCAAGCACGGTTGAAGCCAGCGTCCCTGTGGTGCCCACAGGCCCACACAGTCTTCTCCAGTGTACAGCCTCCTTGCCTTTCCCTGAACACCAGTACATTCCTGCCTCAGGGCCTTTGCACTTGTGGTCCTTGCCTGCAAGGTTCTTTTCCTAGTTTCCTCTGCAGAGACTTGCTCCCTCCCTTCTGCCAGTCTCTGCTCAATGTCACTGTCCCATTGGGGCCTTCCCTGGCCACCCTGTAGACCACCCAGCATTCAGTGTTTCCCTGTGCTCCCTTGTTTCTCCTTGTGGCATTGCCATGACCCAGCGTATTGTGGATTTTACTGTTAGTGACTCATCTTTCTCTGGGTGCTTGAATGTGAGCTTTCTGAGGGCAGGGATTTTTGTTGGTTTTATTTGCTGGCTGCACACAGTAGGTGCTCAGTAGGTCTTGGCTGAATGATTGCGTGATGGTGGAAGGCAGGCACTGGCTTGTACCAGCACAGGAGGCAGGGGTATGAGACATGCAGGGGGCGGGGGATGCTCTGTTTGGCCAGACGTGGGGGCCAGGCAGTGGGCAAGCCTGGGCAGAGGGGCTCTGAACGCTGTGTGTCTTGGTTCGTATTCGGGGTGGGAGCCATGGCAGGGTTTTGTGTAGCGGGTGCTGGGATCAGGGCTGATGAGGGGCTCAGCCAGGGGAGTGAGCCCCTGGCTCTGGTGGCAGTGGAGGAAATGGAGGAGTGGAGGTGCTGGAGAGACTCATCAGGGACAAGAACAGCCACAGAGCTGAGTGCCTCTGGGGCCCAGCCAATCTAGGACGACTTGTCTTTGAGACCTGAAAAGCATCGCCCTGGTCTGAAGGCACAGCTGCTGGAACTGGAGTTCTTTGGGGGCAGTGAGATCATGCAGAGCCTGCAAGACCTTGACCCCGAAGGAAGGGGAGAGTGTCCGAGCATGGCCTCCTCCATCTTGGGAGGCAGGCTGTGCCCAGGGCCTGTGGCCTCACATGTTGTGTCTGTGGTGCCAGCATCCAACCCTCCTGCCCCAACCCTGGTTGTGTCGCCTCCCAGCAGGTCTGTGCTGGGCAACGCTGCTCCATACAGGGTGGAGCAGAGGGAGACGAGGCCTTTGAGGCCTGAAGTCGAGGCACATGTCCGCACCTCGACCCAGGCACCTTCCTGCTGCTGTTTGTAGGGGAACCTAAGACAGAGGCCTTTTTTTTTTTTTTTTTTT